ACCTATGAGACCAAACCTTTAATTAATGTAAACAGCTGTCAGGAGAGCTGCTCAGAATTAAGGAATGACCTTGTGTTTTAACTGCTCATTTGGTGCAGATGAAAGAAATGAGGGGTGGGAATGACCAGCTCCCCCGGAATAATTGATATAAAATGTATCACTATGCTGTCAAACTTCTAAAGTATTACTTAGAGTTCTCTATTTATCCCACAGTATTTTTAGCTCTTAAAAAAAAAGCTGTAGCTGGGACATTTGTTGCTTCCTCCTCCCTCCCTCCTTCCCTTCTCTAATCTAGACCTAGTAACACAAAAATCATGCTGTCAGATTTACTGGTTATTAAAATAACACTCTAAGGAATCCTGCTACTTCTTGCCTGTAGAGTTTTAGCAGAGCTCTTAATTGTAAAGCCTGTAAGGATGGTTTCAGGATGATTTAGAATTTGGTAATATCGTGGGCTTTGTTTCTGAAAGTGTTGCTGATTCCAGACAATTTATGCAGTTATATGTGTGGCATTCTGTTCGATAATGTTGTTTTCACTAGAATTATATATGTAGTGACTCCTTTTATGAGACATTGTGTTACTTAAGAGAAAAGGGGTTTTCCTGTTCTAATAGAAGGATTCTTTTTGCAAATAAGTTTTCAGTAGAATCCTTGTAGATGGATTGTCAAAGGGGCAGATTAATTGAGAAAGGAAACATTGTACAGTATGGAAAAGAAGAGAGAGAAGTGCTGGCATAGCAGTACGGAGCTGATGGGAAAGGCCACTTACATGGAAAAGAAAGAAGATGGTCACAGTGGGCATAGCGCCTTTAGATTTGGAGTTAATCTTTGGCTGTGACTTGGCACAGACATGAGAGGGACAGTAGTCCAAAGTTTGAAGGAAGTAGAGAATGTTTGAAAAAGGGAACAGCAGCACAGAGCCTGCTGGAACGGGAGGGCTGTCTAGCTGCCTGGAGGCTCTATGGATGTGCTGGTTGAACACACAGCTTAATAACCTTTCTGCCCCACTGACCTTCTCTAGTTGTGTTGAGCTGCTTTGAGGCCAGTGTAGCTAAGGTAATGAATCTTCTAGATGTTCTTGGAATAAGACACCAAGAATACTAATGGGAAAGCTGATAGAAGCCTCATCAAGTTGGAGGTTGCCATATACCTGCAAAACATAACAGAGCAGCTGAGCTGTTGGGGTATTGGCCAAAGCAACTTTGTAATGATGGCTCAGAGCTTCTCAGAAAAATAAGCAGTTGGAGTGAAGAAAATAAAGAGCTGATAGGTTGGCCAATCAAACTACTGTTTGTTATGGTATGTGGTCAACGGAATTGCAGACACAATAAAATTGAAGGCCAGAGTGAGAACGATTGCCACAGCAAAGTGTGGTATCAGATGCTGAGCATCAGCTCCAGTGTATGACAGTGAAGGAAGGGGCGTGGCTGAAGCCAGGTGTTAGATGTATTTCTTTCCCTAACAGTTCTGTGGCTATCTCGGGCTAGCCTTCAGTTAAATATTCTGTGGCTTAAAAGAGGATTAATAAGAGACAGTAGGAAATTTTTCTGAACTTTCTTATTTCTTACCTTAACTCTGTCATGAAATAGATCTAGAAGTTAAAGTTACTGCTGGGAGTGTAGCTCCGTGGTAGAGCCTTCTTGTCTTGAGTGCAGGAAGCCCCAGGTCACTCCGCAGCTGGAGAGATTTGGAGCTCAGATGAATGGATTGAAGGGTTCCTTTGTTCAGTGTAGCGGTTTTCAACTATAAGTTACTCTTCAACTTGGGTACTCATGTGAATGATCTGTGTGCCGTTTTTACTTGAGCAAACAGATGTCTTGAGTTTAAAAACACAAAACAACAAAATAAAAGCAAAACAAAAAATCCCTATTAGTTACATCTTCCAAATCAATGACATAATTATAAGAAATATAAATAAGGTCTCTGAGGTGGCAGGACTGGCCTTCTTCAAAGGTCTACACAAACATGACTTTACTTGGTAGTAAAAAGTTAGCATATTTCTTCAGTGCATTGTATTTGATCTGTAAACGTTTGACTGTGATGTTTTATTGCAGTTTTTCTTTCTTTTTTTTTTTTTTTGGTCTTTTTGAGACAGGGTCTCCCTGTAGCCCCAGCTGACCTGAACTCACTATGTAGACCAGGCTGGCCTTGAACTCACAGCGATCTGCCTGCCTCTGCCTTCCGAGTGCTGGGACTAAAGGCATGCACCACCATGCCTGGCTTTATTGCAGTTTTTAAATGGATTTAACAATATGTTGACAGAACTCTTGAAACTACAGTGTTCTGCGTAGTGTGGTTTGAAAACCACTGCAGTGAACTTTTACTAAGAAAAGTTTCAGCATTCAAATAAGTGTCATTACTTCCTAGGTTCCTTTCCATGTCTGTTTTCTTCTTGGTAACACAGGATACTGGCTACCTCGTTGGCTTACTGTGTTGACTAACCATGTTAATCCATAGAAAACATTTAGGATGATGTGTGTCACATAGTAAGTGCTCAATAAATGCTAGATATTAGGCTGGATGTGGTGGCACACTCCTTTAGTCCCAACTCGGGAAACTGAGTTTGCCTCCAGCCTGGTCTACATAGCAAGATCTAGGATAGCCAAAGTTATACAGTGAGACTCTGTCTCAAAAAAGAAAATATTATTGTATTACTGTTTGAGTTTTAAGTATCAGAACTCCTGTTTTGCAGTAAGCCCTAAACTTTTACTAAGAGCAGTGATTTCTCTTTATTAGATGTCTTGGCAATATGTAAATATGAAGAATAGCACACCCCAGCGTAGACCTAGTGAAATAAATGCCTCCCTCAGCTTAGCGTTTTCTCTGTCCCTTCTGTATTGTTCTTCCTGTTCCGTTTCTCATCTCATACCGTAACCTCTGCTCGTCTCGGCTTCTGTTTGAAAGTAGCCTAGAAAGAAATGAAATTCCAAACAACAGAACTCTGACTGATAACTGGATTACTAGAAAATTGTGGGCCACGCTCTGCACTGTCAGTTTTAGTTAATTTTTCTTGTACTGGTCCAGATTAAAAAAAGGTACATTCTGCTTGTTTGTACCTGGGTCTGATACCATTTCCTGCATTTGGTCTAGTAGCTTGTGGCTCATACCAAGGCTTTTGCAGATTTAATGAAACAGTGTGTGCATGGGAAAAGTAAATAAGGACTCTTAGCAGTGTCCATTAGTCAAAATGTTTAATGGTAGATGAACATAATGACAGAATTGCATAATTGCTATGCTGAACTCATATTTCTCTTGGGTACTGGGACTCAGCATCAACACACTGTCATTTATGTGGTGCTGCTCAGTCTCTGAAGCACAGTGACTTTACTTGATCTGATTCCTATGGCTTCATGTATTTGGCTGATGTAAAATAGTCATTTCCACATTTTCCCTACATTCCAGTGATTTGCATATGACACGAGGGTCAGTATGGCAAAGGCTGCTTTTGTGAAGATTAATAGGGGAAGACACCTGATGTCAGCCTCTGACCTCTAAACACAAGTGCACACACACATGAACATGCACACACACACACACATACACATATATAACACACACAAGAGTTATACAAGGCAAATAGAGTGAGTGGCGATGATTTCATGTCTGAAGCATGTGAGATTTCCTTTTTAAATATTTTATTTATTATTTTTATTTTCTGTGTATGAGTGTATTGCCTGCATGTATGTGAGTGCACCCGTGTCGTGCATTGCTGCAGAGATCAGAAGACGGCCTCAGATTCCCCTGGAACTGGAGTTAAGGACAGTTTGTAGCCACCATGTGGGTGCCGGGAATCAAACCTGGGTCCTCTGCAAGAGCAGTCAGTGCTCTTAACTGCTGAACCATCTCTCCAGCCCCCATAAAAATTGTATTTTTAATTTATGTTTATGAGTGTTTTGACTATATGCATCCGTGTCATGCAATGCCCATGGAGGTCAGAATAGGGTGTCAGAGCCTCTGAAATTCCATGTGGATGCTGGGAACCGAACCCAAGTCTTACGCAAGAACATAGCTCTTAACCAGTGAGCCATCTCTCCAGCCCCCACAAAGGCTCCTTAAAAAAAAAAATTCCCAGAATTTCATACAATGTATTTTGATTA